AAAAAAAAAAATCTACTAAAGGTAGTACTAACGGTACTACTACAAAAGCAAAATAAAAATGTTCATTGTCAATTATGATCTTGACAGGATATTCTTGACAGGATTTTAAGATTCACCCAACTATGCTAAACCAATTCAGTAAGAAAGAACTATGCGAGCAAGACAGCGGTTGGAAACGGTACCTAGCGTACTCCAGTCAAGTGTTGTTTTCTGAGTGTACTAGAAGGGAGACACATAAATAAAGATGTGTCCAAAATGGCTCTTTATTAGGACTGTTTAATCTGGATTTAAAAGTGACAATTTAACGCAAACACTGTAACCATCTCTCAAGGACGTGCAGTGTGTGCCAATAGATGAAGAGCTCCCACGTCCTGTCCGTGAGCAGATCTCTGCACACAAATGTCCGCTGGGCACCGACGCAGTGTGCAAGCAGACGGGGCTCTGTGGATTTTGTTCCTATGAAAATAAAAACTAAATACTGCAAGACTGTAAAACTCAATGGAAGTTCACGAAAAGCAGAAAATAAACATCTGGATTTTCAAATGAATATGACAATTTATTTCTCTATTCGTTAGCCTGGAGTCTTTCAACCAATTAAACGATCCCCCCCTCTGTAAGATTTTAGGAAGAAAACAACAACAACAACAAAAAAAGAGTGACATCTCTGCAAGAAAAGCGGGTGGGTCTCACATTTCGAGCCTGCAGTGTAACCTGTTTAGCTGCGGCCAATCACAGCATTCGACAACTCAGGCCCCGCCCCCCATAGACTTAACTAACACTTGCCCTCGCGATCGCCGCCCATGACGGAAGCGGAGCCGCCTCGCGCAGCGCCCTCGTCCGGCCGGACTCCGTTGCTCTCGTCTGCCCGCTCCGCCCCCGGTGCTGGGCCCTTTATCAGCTGCTCCAACAGGAGCGTGAGCAGACCGGCCTGGTCTTCCTGCGGGATCTCTGCCGGTTGCGGGACGTTAGAGGACTGGATTAAGGTGGAGAGCTGACTAAGCAGTTCGAGCTGCTGCGCGGCGTCCGGTTCAGGGGTGGAGGGGGCGGCGGGCGTTCTGGAGAGCACTGACGTGGAGGCTTCAGAGGACGAGCTGCGGAGATACTCCGCCATCTGCGGGATGCTTAGATTGTCTGTTTGGCCCTGCAGCAGGTTCAGCAGCACTGCCAGCTCGGTCTGGTTCAACTGCTCCGCTGCGGCTCCCAAACCTGTGCATAGAAACGGTTACATTTGATTGCCATTTATGGAAAACAGGATGTTTCTCACCTTTCCAGTTACATACTGCAGTATTCAAACACTTGGCCTGCACAGTTTTAAAACAGTGAGGAAGCTGGAGGGATATTATCATTCCAAAACACTACAACAGGATACTGAACACTTTTCACATGTACAGGCTTTTCAGAAGCGGAAGTCGTCACAGTTGGGTAAACTTCTATAGTGTTGATTGAAACTACAGCAAATATACTTTTGGTTTCCATATGCCCAAGTAGTAAAAGAAAAAAAAAATCCATGACGGGCTTTCAAAAGAGGAAAAGAGAGATTGCTAGTAAACAGTTTTCTGTAATTTAATGGCAAGGTAGTTAAACACAAAGTATAGTGTTATAAATACAGGTAAATTTAAAAAAGAAAATTCAAAACAAAAACTTAACTCGATTTACCATGCTATTAACTCTGGAAATGTGTAATCAATCACAGTTTTGAAAAAGGGTCCATGCACTTACAGTAAAAATGCAACCCATAGGCAATGATTTAGCCAATCATAACAGAGGTCATCTGCATAAACTCAATGGTAAAGTAACAAATAGGGTGGAAATTGATCATGTAAAATCCACTGACTATTCTGGTTCAAGAAATATTGATTGACATACAGTGCACAGCATAAATGAGTACACCCCCCCCTCTAAAACTTAACAAATTCAGCAATTACTATTTACTTAGAAGACATGTTAGGGTTCTTTGGAGATATAATGTTCCAACAAGCCTGCTTGATCAATTACCAAAGAAGAATGCCAAAATTATTCAGCAAAATAAGATTTTCTTATCAAAGTGATAAAATTTTGTGTTGCAAAAATGAGTACCCCCTCCTGAAAGTTACTAAAGAAAAAAAAAAAAGAGTGTATAGGTTTAAGGCTATTTTTGATCAACATGTAAGTATATTGAACCAAAACTTTTAAAGACAAGTAATTTCCTGACAATTAAAAGTGTTATATAGCCCACTGAATCATACTCAGACTTAATGCTGGCAGCAGTGGAACCACTCGGGAGAGAACTGCCAGGTGACTTATTTCTTAGCATAAAAGAGGACAATGTTTCAAGAGGAATACCAAATTATTGTTTTAAGTGTGAAAATATAGCAGAAGTAGCACCAAAATTCAAAAACAATGGACTTGTGATAAGGCTCCTGAAATAATCAGGTCTTCACTTTAAGTTTTCATTTAGTAATGAGTGAATTTTTGCTAGTTTATCTCACAGAGTATGATGCAGCCTGCAGAAGTGACATGCATGGTTGTTGTCACCACTAGAATTACCTACTGTAGCCAAAGCAAAATACACTCATTTAGCTTTTTCCAGAGCCCATATTTGCAAAATAGAGACTTCTGGGAATCCATACTCTGGTCTCAAAGAGACCAAGTCAATCATTTCGGATCCAACAGCATCCAACATGTTCTAGTATTGCTTGAGGAGGAGTACAGTGTGCTTGGTTCCCACAGTGGCATTCAGTGGTAGTAAAGCTTTTATACTGGCATATATTTTGTTGTTTTTATAAAGTATGTGTTTAATATGTTTCAATTTTGCCATCTTTCCATTAATTATATTAATTATATTAGTGATCATTAAGAAAATACATCTTTTATATTTATTCAGAGAGGGTGTACTCATTTATGCTGTGCACTGTAAGTGAAACATTATGTAAATGTAAAAAAAAAAAAAGACGTAAAAAAATTAATGAAAAGTATAAAATATAGAATTCAAATAAATACGATGTAAAAAGTACAGCCTTGCATTTAAATAATTTAAATGATAAATACTGATGCTAGACTTACTTTTATAGGAATAACGTGGCAGGACTTAAACTTATGCAGCATTGCTAAAAGAAGGACTTCTAACTCCGTAAGCGGAAAAGTTACATTCATCAGCATTTAGTTTTACATCCAGCCAGTTTAAAAAGCACAGATAAGGGCGAGCACCTCTATTAGGTCCAAAGATCCAATCCATTTGTGACCCTGGAGCACAAAACCAGTCTTAAAAGGGTCATATGATGCGATTTCAAATTTTCCTTTATCTTTGGAGTGTTACAAGCTGTTCGTGAATAGATAAGATCCTAAAGTTGCAAAGACTAAAGTCTCAAACCCAAAGAGATATTCTTTATAAAAGTTAAGACTGG